ACTGGCATTTTCCCGCAGGTTTGTAAATTTTTATCAAGTTTTTGTTTTTTGGCTCAACACTTTTCATGCACATAAAAGAACACATTTCTTTGTGGATTTTTACTGAAAAATGATGATTTAAGCCACAAAAAAATGGTAAATTTTTCAGTTTCCACGGACTCTCAAGCTAAGGAAATACCCAATTTTGGCGGCCATTTTTCCATTAATTTTAACTCTGAAACCAGGTGACCCACACTTCCTTCATTTGCAAATATCTCGGTTTGTATTCAAGATAAATGGATATTTTTCCATCTAAAACAAGACAAACGAACAAGCTTTAAGATGATACCAGTAACCTTGCATGCCCAAAAATTGACGACAGCCTGATTCCACCGCGTCGTGACAGAAATATCCAGCACTCCGCAAAACTCAAGCTGTTCACGACCGTCCTTCTTACCAGCTTCTTCTACGGATTTGTGAACTCTTTAGTCAATATATTATTTGAAGCAGGTCGAGAAGTTCCACATATAAACCTGCGGTCGATCATAAACACACACTGCCGTGGATAATCTAGTGGTGAGGCTACTAGACTAGAATAGTAATCGTTGTGTCCTTAGGATATTCATATCACTCGGATTTTTCTCGCTTTATCCAAGCGTGGATAAGCCATAGACAGCAGAAGATCTTGTTAGTATGTTAGTGTTTTAACGCCTGCAAAATGACTGCTTGCACTGTGTTTCAGTTTTTTTGTGACCGTAAGTGAGTTCTCATTGCATTCTACTTTTTTTTTCTAGTAGACGGATTGCCAGGCTCACTGTATGACTAATTTTCTCGTATACATAACGTTAAGACTTAAGTACACATATGTCCATTAATTTATTTTTAAAATGTGATATCTTTATGAATGTAATGAGCTTTGAGCATTTAAAAAAATGGAAATGCGCCGAGTAAATGCCATTTATTATATTATTGTTATTCGAATGGGTAAAAGTTCATGTACAGCAAACTCTTGTTTTAGTTTTAGTAACAGTTTTACGGCACTTGCAACACAATAAGGTCATATAAGTGCCAAAGATTAGAGGTGTACTAGAGAGTAACAAACTCAAAAAAGGAGAGATAAGGACGATATATGTTTTATAGGAAAAAAGGAGCAAACCACACCAGAGCACCGGCCAACCACCCACCCAGCAAACTCTGTTCTGGGAAGTGGAACCCAGAAGTACAACATAAGACATCTGAAGACTGCACGAAGTTGTAGATTATTTGACACCCATTGTTGGTGGGTGCTCGGGTGAGGCTTGCTCCCTCTATATCACCAAACATCTATCGTCCTTATCATTCCTCTTTCTTTTCTTCGTATATTACTATCTAGTAATAACACCTCTAGTATCGGCACTTACATGACCTATTTGTGTTGGAAGTGCCGTAAAACTCTTACAAAATCAGATTCCATAAAGCTTCCATATCTCTCTCTCTCTCTCTC